AGGAATTACTCTACTTCCGAGACATTTGTCACGCAAATATAATGCGCGGTGCACTCTCTGCGCTGATTTAACCCTGCCGACTAGTTATCTATCTGAACCCAATATACTATGAGTAGTGGTGTTGGTCACATATAAAAGATCTAATCTAATTTTTACAATTAGAGTATATGTGAATGAGAGAATCCATCAAATAAGAATGTGTATGCACGTAGCGCTACATAGTTATATATAGATCCACATGGGGAACTTCTTACCTAATAGTCGAGCTATCTTTACTCGTGAGAAGTAAGCTAACAAAGCGGCCCGGAAAGATTGAGCTCCAAAAATCTCGGGAAACCCTACGCATCTTATTGACATTTCCCAAGTAATCAATTGAGATTCCTAGACAAGAAAGCCGGACCATAGTGTAGCCGCTCCGGATTACCCTCCCCGCCACTTGTAAAAGACCACCAAAATTAAAAGCCGTATGAAGCCACGATTGCCACGTGTGTACTAGCGAAAGCTTCGGGCCAGGAGAGACGATGATTACAAAACAGAGACTTACCACCTGCCGGTTCGCAACATGCAGTCAGACAATAAAGCAAATTTATTGTTATATAAAAAGGGAAATTATAGTTTATCCGACCTCACAAGGAGTACACCATATTTAACAATGTTTTGGATGGAGTCCTTTCTAAAAAATGTAGAGGTCCTACGTAACAAGAGAGACATTGAATGGATTATTTATTTTAGTTTCCCTTATCAATGAAAAAAAAAATATAAGACGAACGAGTACTACAAAACAAGAGACATGCATATGTGTTCTATTTTAGATAACATTCTTTCGTATTATCAATCGGTCCAGGAAACTACAACACTACATTAAGCTGCCTGAGTCCATAGGAGGCGCTAGAAGGTGATTCGCTTTATATAAAGTACTCTCAGAAGAGACATGTTGGAATTTACAATTTTGAATAAAACACGTAAGCCCTCGAGATGTGTGAGTGTATTTTAAGGTAAGGATAGAAAAAAAAAAAAAAAAAAAAACTCAATTATTTAACTTCTTCAATAATTGTAATAGCTCCGTTAGCGATTGACGTTGAAATCAAAATTTTGATCATTGAAAAAGTGGTAGTGGAATTGTGATGATGATTGATGCAGTAATCCTTATTGGCGACAATCATATTCATACAAAAAGGAAAAGGTTGAAAAACTTTGAGAGTAATTAATACACTGACAGAAATTTTGTGCTATAAAAGTTAATTTGGATTTCCAGTATATGTTCCTTTCAAGATGGTTGATCATTTGTATATAAATATTTCATTTATCTAAAAATATATATCATTTAAATAATTAATTTTTAAAATTAAAAGTAATTTGACTAAATTATCTTTTAATTCAAAATAATTAAAATTAAAGTAATTTGTGAAGATAATTCTTGTATCTAACATAAATAAGGGTAATATTAAAAAAGCATCATTTATTACTTCTAAAAAATATTCAAAACGATTTATATTTTCGGACAAAATAATTACTCTAAAGCTTCATTTATTACCGTAAAATAACTTGCAGGAAAATAAATTGCTGAAAAATATTTTTATAGAAAATATTTTCCTTTAAAAATATTTTTTAAATGACTTATTTTCCATTGTTTGATTGTAACTTGAAAAATTAGTTAGAAAAATTAAAATCTTTTATCTCATAAGACCATAAAAAATATTAATAGAAATTTTATAATTTCAAATTTATTGTTAAATATGAAAAGAATGCAAAAAAAAATTTAAATTATGAAAAAGCCGTTGGTGGCAGCCGGCGGTAAATAGTAAGCTGGTGGTGTTTAGCTATAATGATTTAATAAATTAAAAAATATAGATTTATAAAAGTTTGGCCAATATCAGAAAATATTTTTGCTCTCTCGAAAAATGAGAAGTTATTTTTTTTAAAAAATGACTAAATTTGCCTCTTGAACAGAAAAAATATTTTTCTGTGACTTATTTTCCCTTCAATGCTTCCAAAAAACAAACGAAAAATTATTAAAAAATATTTAACTGCAGTCATTTTAACGAAAACAACCGAAGCCCAAAATAACTTTATATTTTATAATAGAGTAGTTTACAGCGGTACTAAGTAATAATTTTTCCAAAATATGAGAGTTAGGATGATATTAAATTGCCTTAAATTGTCTTATAATTTACAATTTTTTCTTTTCGTCAAAAATATAGATTTATAAAGTTTGCCAATATCCAGAAAATATTTTGCTCTCTCGAAAATGAGAAGTTATTTTCCTTAAAAAATGAACTAATTTGCCTTTGAACAGAAAAATATTTTCTGTTGACTTATTTTCCTCAATGCTCAAAACAACGAAAAATTATAAAAAATATTTTACTGCAAGTCATTTTACGAAAACAAACGAAGCCCAAAATAACTTATATTTTATAATAGAGTAGTTACAGCGGTACTAGTAATAATTTTTCATATGAGAGTTAGGATGATATTAATTGCCTTAATTCTTATATTTACATTTTTTCTTTTCGTCTTTTCAAAGGAGTAGTTTCTCGTATTGATAAAAATTTGCAACTAAATACCATGTTGAAATTTTTTTTTAATATTCAATGTTACAAAGACACAACTCAATGATTTTCAAAAGAAATGATAAGTGAGTTGCCACTTGGAGAAGAGAAGCAATATATGGTAGAGTGTATACACCAACAACATACCATACACATATTCACAAAATATGAAGTAGGACAAACATGAACTAATTAAAGCTTCATGTCTTATTCTTTGTCCCTCACCATGCATGTGGAATGAATTTTTTTTTTTTAAAATTTGAGAATTATCATAATTTTCAACTTTTGATTTTTTTTTTAATATAATCATTGAGTTATTAAGCAAATGATTACTTCTAACTTGTTAGGATTGTTCTTCTTATAAAAAAATTTAGTCAAGTAATTGTTTAATTTAGGATTACATTTTAATTATAATAAATGCATGAAAAGAAAAAAAAAGTTAGACTTGCTTCAGTTTTCAAGGATAATAGTACTATTGAATGTTGCACTAAATAACAATGAAAATATGGTAAAATTCATTCATAGTAAAAAAAAAAGAACAAAGTTATTAATTAGTGAAATTTTATTCTTATGAAAATATATTTTATTATTTAGGTAAGAAGTTTAATAAATACATAAAAAAATTATTGAAAGTTATATCTTCAATAATTAATTGAAGAAAGTTTATCTAGTGTCTAAAATGTTTTTGTAAAACGGGAATTAATCGAAGAAAATGTAAAAGGGAATTGAAATTGGTGGTTCAAAATATTTCAAAGAATTGATGATACATAGAAAATAATATTAAAGTCCAAGATTAAATTATTATAAGACAAATTGGAGAATGACAATCATTATCTGTTGGGTTACGGCCGAGCATTTTACCAGAGGTTTCTATTATATCAAATACCCCTATGTAATTTCTGTTGAAGCATATACTCGGGGTTGGTTGCAGGGCGGACGCTCAACATTTTTATCAAGAAAAAAGCAGTGAATGTAGATGATGAAATTGAACATGTTATATAAAATGAGAAATTGATGAAGAAAAGCCAATTAAAATTTTGAAAAAGGGATTATGTTGCAAGAAATTGAAAAGTATATATATATTGACAGTAGTGAAAGAAAACTTATTAGATAATCAAATTGTTCAATTTGAATGTGGAGCATCACCCACAAATCTGAGGGTGAGGATTTTAAATATTAATTAATTATTAATAAATATTTTTTTTTGAAAGAGAAAAAATATTTATTATTAATTAATTATTAATAAATATTTTTAATGAGTTGAAAGTTCCAAGAATGAGTATTAGAATTAGCTATTTATAGTCAATGACTTTATTTAAACAAATTTTTTTTTTTATTAAAGTAGAAGAGTTCAAGTTGTCAATTTGAAGTTAATTTTATTTTTTTTGAGAATAAAATTAAGTTTTTTTCGACTGTTTTCTTTAATTATTTTTTCCTAATAAGCGTTTCCTAAATAGTTTAAGTTTATTTTTCTTATTTTCTAAGTATATACTTTATAATTTTTAAATTTCTATTTTGATTTTTTTAATTATTTCCTATTTAGGTTTTTATAGCTCGTATATAACTTAGCTATATAATATTTTAGGGACCATCAATTACAAATAAAATTTTAGATTATTTTTTTTTGTTACTCGTGAGAACTCAAGATTTATTTTTACTCGTATACTCATAATGTTTAAGGCATACTTAAGCGTTGTGTTTGGATTTATTAATTTAAACTTCAAATTTGAATTTAAATGAAATTTATTGTTTCAATTAGCTAAATATATACTTCTTCCGCTCTCATTTTATTTGCTTATTATTCATTTTTTGAATATTCCAAAATATTTATAAAATTTCTAAATTTATATACTTAAATAATTATTTTTTCTGTACTAACTTTTATAATTTAATTTTCATTAAATAAATGACTTTTATTAATGTCTTAATAAATTCAGGGTAAAAAAAAGGCAAATTGATTTTTATTAACTGAATTATTAATATATGTATTTTATCAAACTATCCAAACAAAATGAGAAGAAATGGGTTCAAACCCTAGTATTGTGATCGGAGAAAATTGAGTTAGGAGGGCCGCTCCTATAATGGCCTCTGCAAAACCTGGATTCGGATTAGTCGGCGGTGCCAGATACTAGGTAATTTAACCAAAAAAAAAAAAAAAATAGAAAGGAATGAATATTTATTTTTGAGTTTTATTCAAACTTATAAATTTTAAATCGATGAATTTTGAATTTTATTTTCATGCCAGAATTGGTAAAACTCTCCTAAAAATGGCTTTTAAATTTCCAAATTATGCCTTTTACACTTAAAAAGTATATATAATTTCAGATATGCTGCACACATTTTTTAAATTCAGAATCAAAACAAAACATGGGTTTATGTTAATGGGATTTGTGTTCAAATAATTTACAATTGCAACTATGTGGAATTTGAAAATTCAAAGAAAATAAAAGATATATAAAACATCTATCAAATCATATTCAATCCAAATCAGAGAAAATAGCGAAACATCCCACGTATTAGCCAATACCCTCAATCTTTTTAAGATTGTATAAAGTGAAACACTGAGAAAAAAGAAAATCAAAATTATGTACACCAGATATATATATCACCATGTGTGAGAAAATTAATTAAGATACATATATCATCGAAAGGCAAAGATACAGAAAAAGACAACCTTGAAAGCAATTGTTACCTGTCATTTTGTGCTTCAAAGCATGTGCCTTGAAATTATATTATCGCCAGGTCCCTCCATCCATTCATCTATCCACCTTTCAATGTCTCTTTGTCTTCAAACTCACTCTTTCTCTTTACTTTCTTTTTTCCCTCCTCAGTATAACTCATGTAGGGTAAATAATAAAATCAAGAAAATTAACAAAACTTCTTAAAAGTAATTAAAGAAACCCACAAATAATCAAATTTAGGCTAATAAATTTAAATCTGCAAATTGAAGACCTAATTTTTCTTTTACTAGAGCAAATGATTATTCAATCACTTCTTCTTGTGGTTCTTCTCTTTCCCAAAGATTGAACCTAACCCAAATAAATTCCCAGATGGAACATTCAGCACAGGATTAACATTCAACACAGGATTAACACGAACACTTCCATTGCCATAAGATCCATAATTCTTCTTCAATGGAGGCTTTTGATGACTGGTTGATGATGACTGTGGCTTCAAGAATAATGCTTGTTTATTGTGCTTGTGATTAGAAGAATTGTCCTTCGATAATGGTACCCTTTTGACACCAGTAGGTGCAGTAGACCCTGTAGAATTACTTCTTGATAATAGTGGCAAAGGACATAAACTTCTTCCATAACCACTTACACAATTCAAACTACTACTTCTTTTAAACCGCCAAAATGACTTTGAATTATTATTACTACTACTATTGCTTTGCTTAATAATATTCTCTTCTCCTTCTTCACTTCCAACTTTCTTTTCTTTCTTTAAACTGTTGTTATTATCATTACTTGAAGTTTCTTCGCCTTCGGGGTGTGGATGGTGTGAGGGAAGATTGTTTTGTTTGGTCTTTTTCTTGATTTCTGTTGCAAGAATCTTTCCATTAGAGAAAAGCTCGTCTGCTGAAGATGATTCTTGATCAAAGCTTTTACGAACACAGAAATCGAAATCAATGCTTCCTAATGATGAGTTTGATCGTAGAGGGTGTCGTTCTACAGGAACAATGTCTGATAAGCATAAATCATGAGAAAATGAAATTCTTGGACTAATTCCAGTAGAATTATTATCTGAACAGAGTTCTACTGCCATTTCTAGAAAAATTTTCAAGAAAATTGGAAAAACAATCAAACTCTAATAGTTTCTTGATAACCCTTCAAGAAAGCACCGAATTCTTGGGAGGAGAAAAAAACTCTCAAAACTCTAACAATTTCTTGAAAACTTTTCAAGAAAACATTCAAGCTCTCGTAGTTAATTTCTTGAGAAAAATTTTCAAGAAACCAAGAAAACTAATAATGTATTGACAGATACTCAAGAAAACAAGAAAAACATTTTAAAACTCTAATAATAAAATTAATTACAAGAATTAAAATAAAAGAGAAAGAAATTTTTAATCATGTCAAGAATAGTTATCCAGATGAAAGAAAATCTAACCAAGACTATGTACACCATGAAAATGGAAACAATGTATTAGAAATTGAAGAAAATGCTTTTAATGGACAAGAAAGAATGTGAAACTGAAATCTAAGGGTTTGAAAAAGGAAATTTCTGATCTGGGTATAAGTGGAGGTTGAAGATAAGGACCTACAGTTTAATATAACCATATATGCTAATAAGCTTTGGTTTCAACAGATAAATGAGGCAATTAATAATGCAATATAACTGAAGATGAATAGTAGTGTTCAAAGACTGAGTCGTCTAATAAGATGAGAAGGTTGTTTGTCTGTTTGTTTGTTTGTTTGACAAAATGAGAGAAGAGAAAGAGAAAGCAATAAAAGAGACAGTGAAGAGAAGAGAGCTTTTGGGACTAAAACCGGCCTCCGGAGAGTTGGTTATAGGGAGGACAATAATAGTCTGCTCAGCTGCTAACCATGAAACAGGTGGGCATGTTTCCTTCTACGCGTATTGTTATCCTACGCTATTATTATTATTACCAAATCACGTTTACTAAGAGATTAATATTTAAACATTTTCCTTTATTTTTAAAGATTTTGATTATACTACTGATTTGCTGTTGAAAAAAAAAATCATATGTAATACCTTAATAAAAAATTTACTAAGAGAAGGATTTGTAAATATATTTTTATAAGATTTTATAGATTTATACCAAATAAACTCTAAGTAATAAATGAATTTTTTAATCAATCATATTAAAATTGATCCTTTAACTTTAGACAGAAAATTTAAAATATATAAATTCGAAAATCAAGAACCCGTAGTTTGAGAAGCCAAAATTTGCATGGCCTCGTCACTTGCACTTCAGGAGTACATGATTTAGGGATTCACCTACAGGAGTAAATATGTCTCATCTTTCAAACCACATTATTATTTTAAATATTTCAAAAATTAATTTTTTACGTTGAAATTCGAATAATTTAAAAAAAAACTACCTTTTTAATTTGATGAAAATAAATAATTAATCATAAAATTAATTTAATTATCAATTAACTTTGCTTTTGGCCTTATTAATCAAGATTCAGTTTTTAATGCATAAGCATTTAAAAGGTTATTTTCAAATACAAATTAAAATGGACTCATTGTGACGTAAAAAGAATTTAATTCTAATAAATACATAAATTGTGAAAATAATGACTATATATTAATGATGTTTTTAATTACCACATCTCACTGAGATACAATTTATCATTAATGAAAAATAATTTTTTCAAAAGTTGTATTAACAAAATATCAAATCAATATTTTACATATAAAAACCAAAAACCCTTAAAATTTATTATTTTTAGTGTAAAAATGTGTGAAATTATTATTAAAAATGAAGTTTAGGATGCCATAGAGTCTGTTGTATCGTTTATGGTGCCATAAAATTTTTTTTGTGAAAGTTCAAATGTTAAATGATATATTCTGCCAAATAAGATTATCTCCATTTTTAAATTATTAATTTTTTGCATAATCCTGATATATATTGTTGCTAACCTCGCAAATCATCCCTTAGCTTAGTGACAAGGGACCATATACTAGAATCAAAGGGTCCTAAGTTGTATCTCTTTTCCTAATTTTAAATAACAAAAAATTATTTACATCCATTATGAGCTTTTCTCAATAGATTTAAGATCGTTGTAATGAGTTTAAGCTTAAGAGTTTGTTTGTTAAATTAACTGTTTTGGTAGCTGTTGACTGTTTATAGCAGCGTATAAAATACTAAAAATTAAATGTTACATGAGGTAATTTTTTATAAAACGATACACATCCAAAAATTAGTTCAAATACTATATTATTAAACACTATGAAAAATAACGTTTAGTGTTTTGACTAAAAATTACTTAAAATATTATTGTCAGAATACTGTCTAAGTCTACTAATAATCACAGTATTGTAATATATAGATATAGCTTTATATTTTTTGGGGGGAAAAAATGGTGGTAAGGTAACCATGAACTTGTGGATGTCATGGCTGAACCACCAAGACAAAGACGACAGAAATTTTTCTAAAGAATACGGGAAAGCAAGGCTATGTCAGTGAGACTCAAATGTCAAAGTCATCCTGTTATTTCCAATTTAGTGGCCAATATTATTTTATTTATGTCTTCTCAATTTGAGGGCCTTGAAGGGATATAAATCAATAATCAACATATGAAAGTTTGTTAATTTAGTGATCGGTTAAAAATAATCATGTAAAAGATTAGCTATGCTAGCATCAGTTGCGCCTTATCTTATACCACAAACCAGAAATCTTCAGGAGACAAAGAAATGACCCACTTCTAATCAAACTCTAATTATGGAAGGCTCTCTTTAGTTGGATAAAGTTTTGCAATTGGCATATGGTCCGTTCATTATTCACACACCCACCGTACCAAATTTTTTTTTAGATCAAACTATTAGTGCTGTCAATCATGTGAAATTTGATTAGTTTTTAATTTCTCGTAGAAGATGTAGGAAACGAAATATTTCAAGTTCGAGTCCTCAGGCTACCTTTAACTATATAACTTATAATATTATTTCGGTCCATTGGTCCTCTCATACCTCTTATATGTTCAAAACTGATATCTTATTTTCAAGCAAAACTGATCTGATTTTGATTCGGTAATAATAATACTTTCTTATTATAAAATGTGAAATATATATAATTATCAATACTTCATAAGTAAAGGATAAAAGTTCATTTTCTATCCTTTTACTTTGTTATTTTATCCGATCAAAATCATAAGTTCTATTCTAATTATTGTTTAGACATATACATGGACTACATTTATGCCTCCTCTATCATTTTGTTAATTTATGAAAGAGATAAAAGATAATTTGAAGTATATAAATTGTTATGATTCATTGGGAAGAAAGTACTTTGTCATGCATGATTGATTTAGTTACATAATTAAATTAATTAACCATTTAATATTTTCATATACATAGCTTGATCCTATTTGATATGATAAATGTGCAATGAAACATTAGTTGATCTCATTAAAAAAATTATAGGTATGAATAATTATTTGTGATGTTGTCTTTCATCTAAGATACCATAAATAAAATAAAGTTTTAATTTTAAGAGTCAAATAACCATATTGATTGCTATTTAAAAACCCTAACACTATGGAATTGAATGAGGTACATAAGTGGGTAGCATGTCCAACATTGGTAAGTAAAAGTATATTAAAAATATACCATGTCTAATACTAAGAATCCTAAGTTATATATGTTCCTCAATTTTTTACTTGCAGAATTATTAAAATATTATCCTTAGAATTTGGGCTATTAGAGAGTAATTGAGGCAAAGAAATTTGCAATTAAATTAAGAAAATCTCTTCCATTATGATTTAACTCATAGTTTACATTTTAACTATTGGTGAGATGGGATCAAATCTATTTATAAATTTAAATTGTTCCTGATGTTAATTCTGTTTTTTTTTTAATTGGGATGCTCGATGGATCGAAATAAGATGAAGATTATCAAATTGATAAAAATTCTTATGGTCCAGAAGGCTTAAATTTAAGACCGCATGTTCTTATGCTTAATTGACTAAATTTCAGTTTTTTTAACTTATCTTTTGCAATAATAAAACTATTCTTTAATTCATATATAGAATTTAGATATAAAAAGTGAAATTTGTTATTTTATTATAATGATAAAATTAATCAATTTGTAATTACGGAAATTATAGATTCGAGCTATGAAAATAACTTTTTTTTTTTTTGTAAAAAATACGAGAAATGTAATATATTTATCTTTCTCATGTCTCGCATAAATATGACATGTTTTGAATCGTTTGTTTTTTCTAAAGATTTTCGTGAGGAGATAAAAGAAGATAATCAAAATGCTTTAAAATAAGAAAGGAACAACCTATCCATAATTTTCTTCATTCAATTGATTTAAAAAGGTTAGATGATCTAGATTCAAATATTTCTTTATTGTCTTCAACAATAATATTTATATATTAGAAAAATTAAACATCAAGATTATTAATTAATTAATTAATTTGATGGGTGATGGTCCAACAATATGAATGGGACCAAAAGGAATACTTTTTTTTTTTTTTCAAACATCTTTGCACACTAATTTTTCCCCTTTTAATTCCAATGGATGGCCACTTGCCATGTGATAGATTACACTGCAAAGAAAGCTAAAGAAGTCTGTATGGCTGAGGAATCTTTTAAGGGTCTCTGCTCTTCTCTGCTCTGCTCTGATATTTTTCTGCAATCAAATTGGACTTTTAACAAATACCCCACCTTTTGGTTTTGTCACTGTCCTTGTTATAATTTTTAGATTTTGGACTGTCACAAAGTAAGTGAGAAAGAAAGAGAAATACTCAAATCTCTGCATTATATTTCTATCTTCAGATTGCTGTCTCTGAACTTGCTCTCATTATTGTCTTCTGGCCATGAACCTCAATTAAAAGATAAGAAGGGACCTTCTTCTTCAGCTGGAATATGTGATAATTTTATTATCTAGGTTCCATATGCTTAGTGTCATTATAATTTCGGATTTTATCAGGGCGGCGACTCCGACTCCATTTGAAAGATTAATTTTTTAAAGAGTATTTTTGTCTAGCTTGAATTTGAATAAAAATATTATTAATAACATAAATATGATTTTCTTTTACTAAAATGTATAAAACCAATTAGCTTATGTTATTAAACCTTATCCATGTGTTGTATTGTGGAATTCACTCCAGGGCATTAGGGTTTCATAATGTGGATGTCAACTTCCATCCAGCTTGAAAGTTTAAAAGGAGTTTGCAGAATGAACCCTAAGATATTCCATTTGCTTTTTTTTTTTTTTCATTTAAAAAAAAAAAAGATTTTTCTATTGGTTCATTTAATTTATGATTCAACTTTATTAGCATTGAAATTTGATCCACATGAAACCTGGTTATTCAGGTTTCAATATCTATTTATATTTATATTATTTGAATATATGATAACAACTTTAATAATGATGTCTATACTGTAAGAACAAATAAATTTAATTAAATATATTTTGCAAAAAATCTCGTAGCATCTTAAATTTTATAAAAAAAATCTATTGTGCCTCTAAAATTATAAATTTTGATAACATTGTACACCTCTCCAAGTTAGAAACAATATTTTTTTTTAGGATTTTTAATTTTCATAGGCAAAATATATATTTGATGTTAGTACAACTAAAATATTTTCTATATTTTATAGTTCCGCCGTTGGGTGCTTTCCTCAACGCATAACCAACTTACTCAGATTGTAAGTGGCTCGGTCCTGTGCAAGGAATTCCAACCGTTGCTCGTCTACGTCGGGTTATTTTTACTACAAGAAATGGTTTGAACAATGTTTAATTTTAATAAGATGCCAGTATATTTTTGCAAAACAAATAACTAGTTGGAGTTAGATATACGTCATAACTAGCTTTCTACTGATATCAAACATTATGAGCATTTAAAGTTAGAAGAGTACCTTCTGTGAGATTTATCAACACTACCAAACCGAAGAAGCTATACTACCTGTACCTACCTGCTGCCTTTCAGCTTGTTTGTTTAAGAAGAGAGGCATGCCTCTTTGCTTGCTCAAGGCATGTGCCCCTTTCTAAGTCAGCTACAGCTCATAAATAAATAAAATGGAAGGGAAACTATAAACCAGTGAAACAAACGGAAACTGGTTGAACTTTCCATGATTGTTCAAGCAAATCAGTGGTTATTAGTCTTGGCATTGCACTTATAAAGAACATCGGTGTTCAAAAATCAAAAAAGACAAACAGGCTCTAGCATTTGCTTCGGATAACAAATATAAGGAGAGCAAAAATGGATTAATACTCCTAGAATAAAACTAGCTGCTGACCAACTGTTTTTACTTTATACTATTGCTACTGCTTAAAGGGAAGATACAGAGAGACAGAGAAGCCAGAATTTTGCTGGAACCATCGTCAAGACTTGAGGTTTACTTTGCTGTAGTTATCTGCAGCTTTGGATAATGACTGTATTGAAACGGGGAACCCTGGTCCCATCTGTCCACAGTAAATGAAACAAATTGCTTAAAAGTGGAAAAATACATGCAAATTATGAACTTGTGAAATATAATATATAGTGTTAACTAAGTGAAGAAGCAGAACCCACACTACACACACACATCCAAAGAGACCTGTAAGCAAATGTCAAATTTAGGTAGAGAATATGAAATGGCTTTTATTTGATGATGTAAGTTTCTATTTACTGATTAAATTAATCAAAAAAGATTCATTCATAACTATGCATAGCAATCTTTATTGAAATGTATATCACAATAGAAAGGCGTGATTTCCAATCCACCCCAAATTAAGTTCTCAAGACCTATTAATCTAATCAACTAAACCATTTGTAAAATGAAACCTAAAAATTGCATCCAGGTCCCTCATTACTTCCATCCAAATGCAAAATAAATTCAAAACATAAGCATCAAATGTGAAGAAATTTAACTGGGTTTTTGTAAATTCTAGCTCCATTGGGATAGGCAAACCATCTTCCGGATTCTTTTAAATTTCTACTACTTCGAGATCCCTCTGAATTTGTAATACAACAAACAAATCAATTGGTTTTATTAACCTAGGCTGTGAGTTATCAATAATGATTTCCAGTTCTTCACCTATTAACTTATGTTCACTTAATATGGCAGTTTAATTTTTCATTTCAAGTTATAACATAGGATCATCCTACCCTATTTTTGGCACAGAGTGGCATGGAAGTCTTAAGTTAACAAAACCTTAGTCGCAAGAAACCTAACATTTAAGTTATATAAGAAAAATATCATCGGAAATAGCATTAAAGGTGAAATTCCAAAGTAATAATTTGATCTCCTAGCACAGACAAGTATAATAATTTCAGAATTCTTATTATATCTACTATCGGTTGTGAATATATCAAGAAGTCATCCAGAAGTATATAGAAAAGAGTCAAAACCCTACCGTGCTGCATATATGGAAGCTGTTCACATACCCAGCATACTTTGAAGCTGCAAGAAATGAGGGAAAGTAATTGTTAAAAATCTAAAATGTGTGGCTCTTGGTCAGGCAGAAATCTGAGTCACAACTATTCCATTTTTTAGGTTGGTTTGTCAAACAGTCATTGGCCTTCTGAGTTCTGATGTTAAAACTGTTACAATCATGTATTTATTATATGTACCTAATACAAGCAAAAGCTGGTCAACAAAGAAGTCAAATCTCAAGGAGTAGATACTAACTGGTATGAAAGCTGGAGTCCACTTGAAGTGAAAATTCTACAATACCCAAGTTTGTAATAGATTATGCAAAACAATCAAATCTATAGTTTTTGCAATAAAGCAGCAAATAGCTTTTTACATATCTTTCCACAGTTGATGATCAATCCAATATAATTGGCTTTGCGAGTACCTTGGATTATGCACAATATATTTATATTAGCTCTTTGAACACTTATTTGAATTGCATTTTTGAATAATCCTTTCTGTTATCCTCAAAGTTGGTAGCCAGAAAATTTATTCCAAAGCCATTCTGGAATCAAGCAGTTCATTGTCATGCCTCTGTACTCTTAGGCATCATACTGTAGTAACCAAATTAAATTCATTAATTTCACTATGATTTGGAGGACAGAAGAATTGAAAGGGTCTAATAAGAGATATAAAGAAACAGGTCTAACTTCCCAAAGCCCACAATAGGGAAGAATTTTGTGCCGAGGACACTTTTCTTTCTTTTTCCTTTTCATTCATGCACATGATTCTAAACTAAAAAAAAAAAAAAAAAAAAATCCAAAGCCAATTCTGGAATCAAAAGCAGTTCAATTGTCATGCCATCTGTAACTCTTAGGCAATCAATATGTAGTAACCAAATTTAAATTCATTATTTCACTAAATGATTTGGAGACAGAAGAATTGAAAGGGTCTAAATAAGAGATATAAAAGAAACAGGTCTAACTTCCCAAAGCCCACAGATAAGGGAAAGAATTTTGTGCGCGAGGACCACTTTTCTTTCTTTTTCCTTTTCATTCATGCACATGATTCTTTAAACAAAAAAAAAAAAAAAAAAAAGGAGGAAAAAAAAAAAAAAAAAAAAAGGAGGTGCAAACAGCAGATAGGACTGAACTAAAATTTTATTTCCATCGCCTAATTTATTGAAAAATTCAAAATTTTAGTTACCGTGTCTGCTTTAGCCCAATCTTCAATTGAGATTAAATATATCCTTAAATCTGATTGCCAATCAGTTTTAGCCTATGACATATGTTGACTTCATTTGGACAAAACAGGTCCTACATACGTAGATACAAAATAAAATGTCACATGATTTCTAGAATACACTTACCATGCAAACAACCATCCAAAAGAAGAAGAAGAAGAACAAAGGAAGATAAAACCGAAGTCTAAAAACTCTAATAAAAGCAATAAAAGCTAGTATGTCTACTTTACAGCTGAAGAAACTATCAGCATGCCACTACACGTCCCCTATAAGTTAACAAATGTCCATGTAAAGTTGAAGACAGAGGATGAACATAAACTTGCACTAACACTCAAAAAGTTGCTAATATTATTGGTAAAATTGAAAGGCAAAACTTCAAATTCAATTGGCCATTTTATTATCAGTCAAACTAGGGCATAATTACCCATCGTCCCTCAATTTATACCCTTTTTCCTTCATCGTCCCTAATCTTCAAAATGTCCCATAAAACAATTACTAAGCTTTAAATTTGTAACACTAAAATCATTTACTCATATAACCGGTAAATCTTTTGCCAAATTGTTTTGTTGGATTATCAAATTAGCAAAAAATATTTCATAGATTTTGTGTCAATTTTTCTGATTGTACAATCCAATGAAGCAATCCAGTAAAAAGTGACTGGTCATATGGGTAAATGCTTTTATAGTTCCAAATTTAAAAGGTTGTTAATTTTTATGGGACGTTTTGAAGATTAGGGACAATAAAGGGGAAGGGGCATAAGTTCAGGGATACTGGATAAAATTAAGCTGTCACACTAGTGATTGGGATAAAAATCGCCAGTCCAGCATTTGCATCCTTGAATAGTATTGATAAATGAACATATGGACTTTCAACTAGTTTCTTTTTAGCCTATGAGTTGCTAATGCAGCAATCATTCGTATAAGATAGGAAACTTACTCTTCTTTAAGCCAGCAGGCTTTGCTTGTAAAAGTGCATTCATAAATGCACCAACATTCTCGCGTAAAGACTCCTCTGTGAAACTCACCTGTGGATAATATTGCAAACACGACAGAATTGTAGAATTCTTAAAAAATAAAGGTTGCAGCAAACATCATCTTAATATAATGCATTATGGTTGAGATCAAGATACCATTACCTTTCCAAGTCCTACATGCACAATAGATGTTTTGTCCATTTTAAATTTAATTTGATCCTTTTTTGCATCTTTTACAGCCTTCGAAACATCACTGACAACAGTTCCTTGCTACACAGGATGAGTAAAAGTGAAAAAAACGCAAAATCGTGTAATGATAAGAGCGTAAATGAGATAAAATTAACAAACTCACTTTAGAATCTGGCATCAGTCCATAACGATTAAGGACCCTTGCTAGCTGAAAAAAAAAAAAAAAAGCAAAAAAAAAAAAAAAGAAAAAAAAAAAAAAAAAAGCAAAAAAAAAAAAAAAAAGGAAACCCATTAGAGGAATAGTATCATTATTGACTAAACAGAAAATTTATGAAAAACCCTTTTTAAAAGATAAAAAAAAAAAAAAAGAAAAAAAAAAAAAAAGGAAAAACCCATTAGAGGAAATAGTATCATTATTGACTAAACAGAAAATTTATGAACCCTTTTTAAAAGATCAAAACCTTCGCTATACGGGGATACATTTGAACGGTCGCGAAACATTTATCAACATCAATCTTGCCAGCACCTGCATGGATATGTGGTCTGGTGTCAAATCCAAATCTTATAAATATAATACCTAAGCTGAGTGATCACATCTCAAGAAATAATAGAAAGAATTAAAAGATAAAAGAAGGTAGCAACTCTGTTAGACATTTTTCAAACTTCTGTTGGGAAAGAATTATAATGCGGTGAAAATGATGAATCAACAGGATGAACAACGATGATGGCAAGCAAGAGAGAGAGTGACATAAAGGATAACCAACAGTCGTATTGGATTAGAAGAATCATTTGATAAGACGAACAACTTTTCAATCCAAAATAAAAGAATGGCTTTTACTCCAAACTTTAAAAGGAAACTTTTCACAAAAAATAAAAAAGTGCTTTGTAACACTAGGTTTAGGTTTCCTATTATTATTCGTCTTCTACAAGTGTGCCACAGAATAATAAGATTATGTTTCTTACGTGAAATCTCATCAATAAGTTCAACACCACCAACAACATCAGCTCCCGCAGCTCTGGCATCATCTGCATCTGTCCCTTCAGCAAAAACAGCGATCCTAAGAGCCTGAAAAATGGAGCGGCTATCAGATTAGCCAAACAAAATACAAGTTTCCAAAGTCAGAAACAGGATGATAAGTCTGAAAATTTACTTTCTTCCCACCATGAGGTAGAGTCAAGGTACCACGAACAATCTGCACTCCAACAAAGATGGCATAAGTTTAAATTGAACCTTCTTTTCAAAAAAGAATGAATCATACAAAGTATTGAACCTTCCAAGTTCAACTAGCTCGATCAAAAATCTCGGTGTCTTACCAAAGACCTAGGATTTAATTGGACCCTCACTGTGTATGGAGACTTAGGTGGAGGAGTAAATCCCCCTTAATTTGTAATACGCCCATCAAAACAAAAGAAAAGGAACCACAATAATGGTGCACTCAGAAAATTCTTCTTGGTTTCCAAGAAAATATAACATTAAAATCAATGAGAAACTGATTTAGAAGACCAACTTATGCAGAGAAGTAGAGAACATAATCACTGAAACCGTTACTATTAATCATCTAAGGACAATAAACCTACAAACAAGTTAATTTGAGGAGACAGTTCTACATCTCATAGTCTTAAAAAAATACATAAAAATAACATCTATTTTAAAGCAAATCAATGATGAAATAGAATCAAAAATCATTTATTCTTTCAAACATTTGCAGGTTTTCTAAATGTAATAGTTCCCTAAAGATCATAATGAATCTAGTTTAAATTGTAATTCAATGGCAAAAAGAAGCATAGAATAAGAGAACCGTCTGTAAAGATGAATAGACACGTACCAGGTCAGAACGAGATTTGGCAATGCCTAATCTTACATGCGCTTCAACAGTCTCATCAAAGGTAGTCCTTGCACTGGCCTGAACAATTACTAGAAATAGCAAGAAAAAATTAGCGAGTGCCAGAAATGATTTAACAAAAATGGTTACTATTGAAATGAGCAAGAAATCAACACCAACATAAACATAAAAGAAAATGCATTTATATATATTTATAGACTGACCTTGACTTGCCTCAGAGCGTCCATCAAATCAAAAAGAGGTTTCTTTTCCTTCTTCTCAGGCTTGATCAACTTAGGAAAAGGCGCTGCTACTTGCTCCTCTTCTTCCACAATCCTAAATAACCATTTCGACCGGTTCTCAACCTCAATCCTCCTACTCTCTCTCTCCATCTCATCCCCCTCCGCTGCAATTTTTCCTTCGTCTTCAACAGCAACCCTATCCTCCGGTAAGGGCGCAACCCGTACTGGATACGAAACTGGAGAAATTGACGGCCCATCCTTGACGTATCGGATTTCCTCCCGCGTCAAACCCGTCCAGGGTCCCTGATTAGGTAATTCTCGAGGTCTTGTACGAAATTCTTGTTGTTGGTCGTGGTGTTCTTGAGGAGCTCCATTTTCGTTTGGAGGTGTTGGGTCTTTAGGCTTTACATGATAAGAGACTGGTTGGATTGACCCAGATTGATTTGAATCAGAGGAAAGCCACCTATGGAATGATGGAAAAGGAGAGGAGGCCTTGAAGAGGTGGTCGCGGCGACCTTGAGAAAAAATGAGCTTCTTCATGGCTGCTCCTCCTACTACTGACACTGCTGTAATTTGGGTTTTTCGGTGATTCTGAGGATTTGGGGTTTTAGGCAGAGAAGGAAACGGATCGGGTAACTCCAACAATTGGCAAATCCGAATTCGAATCGGTTCAAATACAACAAATGTGGCCGGAGCCCACCCATTTCCATTGCTCTATTGGACCGTACATCTTAATGTACCATTACTACTGGACTTTTATTGTTCTCTAATCTATCCCAACAGCCCATCATTTGTTTTGTTTTTTGAGAAGACAGTCCATTGTTTGTTATTTTAAATTTTATCATAATCGTGGTTTATTTTTTAAAAAAATATAATTCATTAATAACAATGCTTTCGTACCAATCAGATAAAAGTTCATTCATCTTTTAACCTTTTTCCGGCTTAAAGATGATCTCATAAAAAAATATATAAATTTTTATAGTAATAATTAGTATGTCAACAAAATAATAATTTCTTTACATCATTGCAGCTACGTTGTTCTTTCAAAAACTCGCAATATATGTGGAACACATGAATTTTTATTATTATGCATCACTAATATTAATAAAAAAACACGTCACACTATCCGGCTCTATTAATTAAAGATTTAAACTTACAAATTAAGATTTAAAGTTTTCAACTAAATAAAATTAAATATCATATGTTTATTTAACAATAAACCTTCTTATAAAAGAATAAACCCTCGCAATAACTGGAATAAAAAACTCCAAATATAGAGACGAAGTATAACGACAAGCACAAAGAAAAAGCATATATGTGAAAAATAAATCTAAATTTATTAAAAATGGATAAAAGATTAAAAGTGAAAGAATAATATTATAAGATTCTCGCCGATAACATGAATCATATATAAGAATATGGTAGTCGTGTTTAATTTTTATATATAATTTTCTATTAACTTTAGTTATAATATAATGTTATATAATATATTGCTTAAAAAATGAATATTAATGCCAATCATGAAGTGGTGATTTTATTAATTTTTTCACTTATACGAGGAGTGGGAGGTCTTGGATTTATGTTTTCTCGACTACAGTTATTTTCACCAATTTGGCGAGTTAAGAGAGATACCCATATTATACAGTGCAATGTTATCTCGGCGTAAAAACTTCTAATAAATTAAAAAAAAACATTAATTTCTTTAACTACATTAATTATGTTCCCCATTAACTTGGGGTTTAACCGATCCTCGAATTAGCTTGACTCAAGTTCAGAATAACAAATTTCTCTTCTCCTTCCTTTAAATAAATAAATAAAAAGTAATGTAAAAAAGACACGACAAAGCTCCTTTCTTACCAAAATATCCAGATCCAATCATGCATCTTCAGACTGAACAACTGAAAAGCCAACTAAACTCCAAATTTGTCTTAATTTAATTAAATTCAAAATTTTCTCACACGCAATTGGCCGTTTCCTTTCTTTGACCTCTTCACAGGCTCACAGCCAATCGCAACGTTCAAATTCAACAAACCGAAGGACTCCAATTTGAAAAGTAAAAGAACATCGCCAAACAGAAATATAAAGTCACTTTCTCTAGGTTTTTTTACCTCCAGTTCTGTGTCCAGATTTTCCCTCATTTTCTCTCATCCCAAACAGCCAAACCCAAAAAATCAAGTTCTAGAAGCCAGAGAGATAGAGATGGCAATAAATTGGGAACTCCAAAACTGCTGCCAGCATGACCAGGTCGTGTTCCTTGTCACCATCGGTGTCTTCTCCGTCGTTATCCTTGCTGTAAGCTTCTCTATATTGGTGTTGCTTTTGTTTTTCTTTTTCCTTTTCTGTTTTGAAGTTTGGAAGACTGTCACCAACTTGTTTCTATATATGGGTGTTCCTTATTTTCGCGGATTTACTATATAATCTAACTGCAATACTTCCAACTAGTTATATTGAATTGCAAACCCTTTGATTTGTAGTCGCATTTGTTTACTCTTGTGGATGAATCCTTTGTTTCGTGCTTTATAATTAGAGGAACAGATATTGGGAAAGTTGGGATTGAAGGTAATCATGGAGGACTGATATTATAGTAGACTAGAGCTTAACAATGTCGTAAGATTGGAGGATACTGCACGAAATGGGATTTTCTTTTAGCTGGGTCACTTCCTATTTCTGTCTGTACTGCTGAGAGGACGATACATCATTCATGTTGCTGGACTTGAATGGTTGTTAATTTAGCTTTAAATGAATGCTAATTGAATTGAGTTTTGGTATTAGTTGTTGTTTTTTTCTGGATGACTTTGGTTGCATTGACAATTCATTTACATGACTTGTTCTCTGATGTTTATTTCTGGCTTTCTGATTGTGATAGCTGTGGAGGACAGTGCTAATGACACCATTTAAGCTCATCACTGTATTTTTGCATGAAGCAAGCCATGCAATTGCTTGTAAACTCACTTGTGGTCAGGTAAGGAGTTATTGCTACCTTCTTGTGTATAATTGGCAGGACAGAGATTTTATATGCTTTCATTTCAGAACCCACTTGATTGATAAAAATTGTAGTTTGTCTCTAATGGAACATGTGATTAGTCAAGCTAAATAAAAGCACAATACTTGTTTTTGTCACATTTATTTACCTGTTTCAGTGTAATGGACTGCAATACAACTAGCCCTCATATTGACACGTGCTTAAGGTATTCTTGTTTAGAGGCACACAAAGCACTTAGTTTATCAATTTTCTCTTTTCTCCCTAACAAGGAAGATCTTGAAAATTGATTCCTAAATGTTATGAAACAATTCATAGTTTCTTCCGGTCATTGTCTAAGGCACAATCTGATGCAAATAGAACCTTGAGCCAGGTAGCAAGGGTGTCCTTTACTGCAGAATCAGAAGTGGTCTTTTGTGCCATTTTAACTCTTTATGTATTAACAATTAGATTGCATTGGCTTCACTTCTACAAACGTCATCATTAATAGTACACCTTTATGCATGTAAGCAACCAAAATGCACAGTTGCTCTTGTAGACTATGAAGTATAAGTCTTTTGTTATTGAGTGAAATAATTAGTTCCGATGAAGTATAAACAATGAATTTGCCTTCGGTGCTGCTTTTTAATGGAAAAGAATTATGTAATAACAATTCCTCATCAAACAGAAAAGATGAATTCAAACATAAATCTTCTTTTCCATTACACCTTACTTCAACTTTCAGAGGTTTGAAGTATAGTTCTTCACAATTCTAGCTACTATCTAGTTGCCAAAAAATTATTCAGTCGTGTTGCCTGGTGGTGACATCTGAAATTTTATTTGTATATGCTTTGTGCCTCGTAATGATGAATGGTTTTTCAACAAGCAGATGGATGAAGTTATCATTTGTTTGGAATTTCGAATATGTAAAATTTATTAAAACTTAGATGCTGCCCTGCAAACATGCCAGCTCACGTTTATGGCTTATTGGTCTTTGGCCGGAGAATGCTCAAAACCGGTGCTATTCTCATATGTTGTGATGTTCAGGTGGAAGGGATTAAGGTGCATGCAAATGAAGGTGGAGTGACACAAACACGTGGTGGTATATATTGGTTAATCTTGCCAGCTGGATGTAATTCTCTTCTGCCTTTTGAAAGCTACAATTAAAATTGCAGTATTTGCTAGTTTTAATATATCTCTTGCATGACATGGATATGGGACAGCGAAAGACAAGGTCATGCTGAATTGGATATTTGTTTCGAAGTAAGGTTCCAATGATAGCATGGAAAGAATATTGCGTATCTCTAGTGTGCACATCTGCAGTTATATAACAAAATACTATTTTTATGTGTAATGCTTGCGTGTTGGCTGGTTCTCCTCTTCCCCTCCTACTGGAAGCTTAATTTGCTTTGCTTTCTTGTGTTTAAACCTGATGACCTGCTATAATATGTGATTCAGACAAGTAAAAGATATGCTGGACTTATTGCAAAGTTTTCTTAATCATATCCAGTCCATTGCAAAGCATCCTTCTGAAATTTCCACAATTCCAAATTTTGTGTTAAGAGGTGTTATGGAGGAACTCTGATAAGTTTGACTTTGGTATCCAAGTTTTTGTGTTAGAGGTGTTATGTAGGAAATGTGATGCGTTTTACTTAGTATTTTTTTTTTCCCCAGATAACTCATTTGTGTATCATTCTGCTTTTAAATTTTCATGATTTCTCTTTTTAGACACAATATCTTAGTTCTTGTTGATATTTATAATGTATAATTGCATTTTGTATCCAGATCTTGGTTCCTCATTTTGGGGAATGCTTTTGATACTTGCATCCACAAATCTTACGACAGCAAGAATAGCTGCCGGTTGTTTTGGAGTTGCTTTACTGGTTGTGCTCTTTGTTGCTAAAAATGTAAGTCGGGACATTATAATATTTAGTTCTTTCTCTTACTAGATGTAATAACTTTCTGTAAATGTTGTTCTTTATTGGTTTCTTAATATTTGTTGGGAATTAAGTTTTCATGCTTTAAAGTCGTAACATTTTACTTGATATACGTTATTTTCCAACAGTGGACACTTCGAGGTCTTTGCATTGGTGAGTCTACTACAATTTGCCACCACCTCTTATTCGTATCTTGTCTTCATTAGTTTCAATGCTCACATGTTTCTTGTTTATTAATTCAATTTCAGGATTTATCATTTTCCTTGCTGTCGTTTGGCTATTGCAAGAAACAACAAAAGTACGGATTCTTCGATATGTCATTCTTTTCATTGGTATATAATACTCATTCACATCTTCCATTTTATTGACAACTTGCTTCTACATAATAATTTCCCTCTTGTGATGGATGTAAGATAGAGGTAACTTATATTTACTCTTCATTGCAGGAGTGATGAACAGCCTGTTCTCAGTTTATGGTAGATATATTCTTCATTTTATTTTTCCATCTCATCTTGTTTTGGTCAAATGGGTTATCATTAAAGTTACGCACCAAAATAATGCAGATATTTATGATGATCTAATATCCCGAAGAGTCAACTCCAGTGATGCTGAGAAATTTGCAGAAGTTTGCCCTTGTCCTTGTAATGGTGTTGGTTGGGGAATCATTTGGTGAGTTTAAGGTTTGGCAAGACAATACATAACTGACTACCATTACTACTAGATATAATCTGTATCTATGGAGATCAGTAAATGCTTATGATTCTTCATTTTACATTATTGTTCTGACATGCTTAAAATTGTGACTATTTGCAGGGGAATGATATCATTTATTTTTCTCTGTGGATCCATTTATCTTGGACTTGTGATCTTATCTTGAGGTAAAATCTTCCTTCTTTAAGGATTTGGTTTTAGTCTTCCCTTTTTCTTCTTATGTTGTAAGTTTGAAGGTAGATTTCTCTCCATCCCCCAATCACCTAAGCTAGGCCCAGGGAGAGCAAGGAATTGATTTTACAAACTGATCTTATATTTGCATTTTCCAACTAAGAGGTCAAGTCCTTACAAATTTTTGAAGTCCACTGAGAATGCACATTAGCTCCTTCTAATCCTCGAACTACACTCTACAATTTCCCACTGCATAATAAACTTTCACTAAGCACATATATGTATGTGTGTGTGCACATGCACGTCTATAGTTTTCTTTTAAGGAAAAGAAAGTTGAAATTAAGGTTAGGTTTTGAAGAATGTTTTCTTTGTTACTTAAATTAAACTATAACAAGCTGAAGAACATTCGTGCATAAGTTCTAAAGATTTTTGTATTACATTTTAATATATTCTCTTGTTCTCCTCCTGCTGTTTCAGGTTTAAAGACAAGATCAAATGTTTCTCGTTATATCGGAGGCGATTACGATTTGTGACTTCCCAGTTCACTACTCCCCCCACTTTGGCTTCTTGGCTTCAGAAATATTGTTGTTTTGATTCATTTGACATTTAATAGAGAATTATTGTGTAGTGTGTATATGCTTCATTCTTTCAGCTCTTTTTCATTAGGGCTTACATTGCAACAACTTATGATTCATTTTGTACAGTAGACATATTTATCAATGTGGTGATTGATATTCAGAAGATATTAGGGGTCAAATTTATAATTTTTACACTTTATTTGGTGTAAAAATGAATTCAAGATGCGAAAACTAATTTCATATAGAATTCGATTTTAAATGATTTTATGTTTAGAATAAATTCAAAATTAAAAATTCATTTCCATGATGTGATAGAGCTTAACTTATCTATCCAAGGTTCGTAAAGACGGCACTTTCTCAAACATGAAAATTGAAAAACTTTTGACTTCTTTTCAATCATTAATAAACCAAATAAAAAATTTATCGTATTAACGATGAAACTCTTCAATTTCTTTTTTAACCCATCTGTCTTGAAAAAATAGTTCTACTTTCCACAACAGGTGTCCCAAGAAAATAATCTCATTTCTATTTTTTTAAATGGTCTTTTTGTTAACTTTTCTATAATGCTCTTATAATATAATTTGTGCTCTTATATTAATGTTTTATTGAAAAACTCTAATAGTTCCAAAATTTAATCAAAAAATTATTAATATAAGGGTATATATGGAAAAAGAAGGATAAATGTTATGGTTGAACTAATTTAACTACTCCAATATAGCCGTGCTATGCACGGTTTAAATTGAGAGAATATATATTTTTGTTAACTGTTCTATAATGCCTTATAATATAATCTATGTGCTCTTATAAATTAAATACAGTTTTTATTGAAATATAACTCTAAGTAGTTTCCAAAATTTAATTCATAAAATTTATTAATATAAGGGTATATAATTGGAAGAAGGAATAAATGTTTATGGGTTGGAACTAAAATTTAAGACTACTCCAATATAAGATCCGTGCATAGTGCCACGGTTTAAATTGACGAGAAATATATAATCCTATACTACTTACTATCAAGTATGTATGAGTAGAATAATTTTACCTGAATAAATATTTCTTTTATTGTGCTATTAAAATATTGTTAAATCCTCAAGTATTATAGTAAGAAAAATATAGCATAAATTTTTATTAAATAAATATAAAATTAATAGATTGGCATGTTTTTCTGGAAATATATGGATTAAAAATAATTGAAATTTAAGAAATAAAATTAAAAAAATGTAAAATAAAAGGTGGTAAAATTCAAATTAAATTTTGAAATTTATTTAAAACTTAACATAAAAAATAATTAACCGTTACTATCACTTAAAATTCCATGAATTCAAAATCTTATTTTTAATAATTTTAGAGTTATATAAATTTTACCATCTTATCATACATTAACTCTATAATATAATCCCAATTATATTTATTAACATGAATGATCATATTAGATTATCCAATTTTTTAACATTTTTTAACTATAAAATAATATATTGTCCTTATCATGTAAAATTTATAAATTATGCTCATTTTATTGTAATCATTAAAAGTTTATTATCTAACTGTTACTCTTTCTCTAATGTTATACCTTAAGATTAATACACATTTAAAGACGAATTTTATAATTCAATTACTACAAATATAATTTAAGTTTCAAATAAAAGATAAATAAACAAACAACTTAATCATACACAATGTAAATTAAATTTAGAATCCTACGTGAACAAAATCATATAGCTACTATAATATAAATATATATAGTAGTAATACTAATTATACTATTTATTATTTTTTATTATATTAATTGCAATCGATTTTAACGAACTCACGATTTAATTCATCTACAAATTCGCTTAATTTACCCAAATAATAATAAATTAATTTATTTTCAAATAAATATATAAATAAATAATTAAGTCGTACACATGTAATTAATTTGATAGTTTACAGATACAAAACATGTTAAATAATATCTAAAAAAGAAGAAAAAAAATTGAGTAAAAATTACTAACCACATTAGTGGAAATAGTTGAAATGTAGAAAATTCTGAACTTTTAAATAACACGAATAATATATTTAAAAATAGGGACCAATATACCTTTGTCAAGAATATAGAAAAATATAATTATACAACTTATATATAGTATTTCTAAAAAGTTAAAGTGTTTCTTGAGGGTAAATAATTTAAAATTTTAAAAAAAGTGCATTACTACACTATTTAAGAAAAAAAAAAAAGGAAACGTTTAGAGAGGAAACATTAAAGATACATTAACGGTTATTAGAGGAAACGTTTGTTGCTTCACAAATTTAGAGTAAAGATTTGTTACAAAGCAATACATTAATACATTAATTGAATAATTCATTGTTATTAAACTTTATCATTTTTTAAAACTAATAATTAATAATAACTTTTAATCATTTTTAAAACTAATAATTAATATAGTTAACTTAAATAGCTATTAATTAAATACAATAGACAAATCAAATCAAAACAAAATCAAAAAACACTAATTTCAAACATTAAATCCAATAAAACCAAATTACAATCAAATACATTTGGTAGATAATCTAATCAAACACTAATTCAAAAATAATAATTCAACCAATACCAACCAATACAATTCAATATCAGACTCAAATATATAAATCAAGACCATGCCAAGTGGAAGCCATAATTAGAGAAATTATGCGCACATTTGATCAAAATCGTAAAATAGCCTTAAAGTACCGATATGTAATATGCACAAACTTTCCTAGAGAAAAAAATATCTGTAGCTATACTATATATAATTAATATTAATACTACATTATTATATATTAATACATAACATACTATCATAAGAGTATATATATATAAGTATAATATGATATATATAATATTCTTAATGTAACTTACTGTGTGAAAAAAAAAGTGAAGACTATTATTTAAAAACGAAACGGATAAACATAATTAAACCAATACATAAATTAATATGCAATACATCATTATTATAAAATTTAATTATATGATTTCCTCAGTTCCTCGTTTCACAAAATAAATGCTATTTTTAAAATTTTTTTTAGACAAAAGAATTATTTGCACTCACGTGCCATGGCATGTGCACGAACATTGACTAGTATATATAAAATATAATAATATATTATAAACCTTATATGATTATATATATATATAATATATATTGTTAATAATATACTACATTATATAATATACCATCCAAATTGACCAATACTTTCACCCACTAAGTTAACACCACGTTTGTCGACACAGGTCCACTTACTACCACCCATATTCTCCTTCAACATATAACTTGTATGAAGCACAATAAACGTTAATCTGACAGAAACTTGCTTTGGTACTTTAATGAATTTCGCATTAAAAGTATCCTATCCCAATGGATATGTTTCACTTATGCCTGCAATCCAAAGAATGATTCTACAAAAATCATAAACTTTACATCATTTCAGGCCAAGAATATCCTTATGCCAAGAAACTAAGAACAAAATTCTGATATATACACATCCAAATTGACCAATACATTTTCACCACTAGTACACACGTTTGTAAGAGGTCCACTACTCCAAATATTCCTCTTCCATTAATTGTATGAAAGCATAAAGTTAATGAAGAAACTGTTTTAACTTTATGAATTTCATTATACTTTCCATGGATAGTGTTACTTATTGATAAAGATGATTCTAAAAATCATAACTATTCATCATCAGGCAAGAATATTCTTATCAGAAACTAAGAACAAAATTCTGCACAAAGATTCATTTACAAAACGAATTTGCTCTAGAATGTTCAGTCCCACCAAATCACTTAATCCCCTTCACAATCTTTTAAGCATCAATAATTCCATAGTTTCTGCATATCGGTACGTTAAGTGTTCTTTTAGATTGATAAAATATGAACACATGAATTTTGTAGAATGTGAAATCCAGGAAAATTTTCACTTGATTGGAAAATAAAATCTATGGATTGGAAAGATATTTTAAAATAAAATTAAGTGGTTTAAAATTTCATCATTAATAAAAAAAAAATAGAAATTTCTCTCTCTTCCAAAATGAACAGTGGGTGATCAAATTTATGAATTCCATAGATTATAAGCCTATTTTTGCTAAACCCAACAAAAGAATCTAACAAATCCATGGAATGTTCAAATTCCATCAATCCAAATGGCCACTAAAGTCTAAATCAAATAGGATATAAATAAAATTTAGCCTCATGCGCACACACACGCACTCATCCAAACACAATCAGCCTTATGCATGAAAGAGCGTGCAGATTTACAACTTTCATGGTTTGATGGTAAAACCAGATTCTCATTCAAGCATATAGGCAAAAATGAAACTACAAAAATATGACAAGCTATAATTTACAATTTCTTGCAGCCTAGCATTAATCCATAGTAATTGAGGGCTCATACCCATCATATGTCCAGATCATCATCTGGATCCTCGTCGGAATCTGGCTTCTCATCGTCTGAGTCCCGGAAATATATTATCTCACCCCCACCAGATGCTTCATTTCTTTGCAAATTCCCAGTTGAAGCAAATGTTGCCTCATTATTATTCTCTGTGAGAGATCTTCGACCGTCATAAATTTGTATAGGTTTACCATTTCCTACAGCAACAAGGAGCAAGGTTTTTAGCACATACAAATAGCACAGCAACAATTGGCTTTGCCAAGTTTTCAATTAAGCATGTCCATCGAAAAAGAAAAAGAAAAGAGTTAAATATTTCTCCCACACCTTGGTGCTCAAAAGGGAGTACAACCTTAGCCCTTTCACTCTGCTCTTTCTCTGACAGCTGTAGGCTAAACAGCACCTGTTAAATAAAGCGCCAATTTCAATAAATTGAATGAAAATAATATAAACCGATATTTTCTTGCCTCTGGCTTGTTTGAGCCAGTATATGCAACTATAACTTTCCAAGATTCTGTGCTAGTATTTTGCTCAAAAAGTTTGGTGTTAATCATCCTTGTATGGATAATTGATGGCAGTCTTATAATATGATTAACTATTTGTACATGTAGAAGCTTGTGTTTTAGCGTGAAGGAGTCGGGGAATGCAGAATAAACAATAACTGACCTTAGGCAAAAGACCTTGATTAATTATTCCATCTTCAGATGAAACAGATGTAAAATTGATTCCGGACTGCTCAATATGAAATTCTTCACGCTAACAACAGAATTAAAAAACAAAAATATTAAAACACTTCGCCAGTCCACAATGGGTATAATGACACTGAGAGAAGGGAATAGGAGATCACCATCACGCGTACACGCCCATTCCGGCGCTTGAATCTGACATTAAGCGTTCCTTTCCCAAAATTATGTTTCAACAGAGAGATGTTTTCTGAATCCAATATGCGTCCATTAGCAGATCGGCTCAGTGGTTCAACACTGGCCACTATAGAGGACATGTATTCAAGAACAGATGTCACCCTAACTTCATGAAGATCTGAAAGTAGCAACCAATACATGCAAGATACCTGATCTGCAACGTTGGAAATAAATATTTAAGTTTGCATTAATATATACATCTAGATAACTGCATCCTCTTTCATCATAAATCTTAACTTATAATTGGCAGCAGTAGAAAATAGTCATAATGAGGGGAAAACAGCCTGAATCCCTGCCGGTGATTAGACATATTCTGAGAAGACCATAAATGTGCATACCATGGCTGCGAAGATTGCTTAAAAGGCCTGCAACTCTTGACAGGGATGCACATCTTAACATTTCATCTACCTGGTGCATTAGAAGCAAATCAGCAGATGAAAATTATATATGAAAGAAAAGCTTGAGAAGTCAGAGAAAAATATTAACAATCGGACCACAATTGTTGAACATTGCAGAGGTAAAAAATTTTGCAATGGTATCTCTACATAGTCTTTCAAAGCCAAGACAATGTCAAGTAAATTGTCATCCTTTAAAGTCGTAAATTTCCTATTAAAAAAAAATCACCAAATCAAATTGCTGTTAAGTAATAATATAGCTCAAGGTTGACAAATGTTCCTAAGTTGCAATTTCTTCTCCTATTTGTGAGAGAAAAATCCAGGCAAGTTCTTTGACATAGTGTACTCTTGTAAGTTAAAATATCTTAATATGATATATATCTTTATAGAAAGCAGCAGCAGAAGAACCAGATATTTTTGTTACAAAAAAAAGGCAAAAGAAAATATAGCCACAAAAGGTATATGTCTGATTAACAAAATCTAACGAAGAATTAAAACCATTACGCAGATGCAAATTTCATTATGAAAAATATATAACAGAATTACCTTCATATATTATTTAACTATATTATATGCCTCTAATTAATCTAAAATTCATATCAAATCACAAACCAGCAGAAAGTTTAACATCTCATCTTTTGAACAATTAAAAAAAAAAAAAAAACAAAAAGATCGTATTTTAGCACAATTATATCATATAGTTTTTATCAACTTGACGTTTGAATCACTGAAATTTAAGCCCCATTCCATTCTAAAATGAGAGCCCAACTCATTTCTAAGTCCTAGGATCCCTTTTACTACATTAAGATATGATCGAATACAATAATTTTTATCCTGGATTTGAGGGAATAGCTTCTCAATATTTATCAACAGAATCTCCAAGATTCCACATGCAACATGAGCATGTAAGCATGGCCTGCTTGTCTAAAACCTATAGAAGTATTCTTCAACATCTTTTGAAAGGAATAAAAGGTTCTAAATTTATTCCAACAGAATTGCAAGCTATTGTTTCCACCCACTTTAGCATATAAGTGCATATCCATAAACCTCTTAGTCTTAGTGTAGAAAATAGACAACAAGCATACAAATCAAACTTTGCCTTTCTTCTTCTGCAAATTTCTAATCTCATAAAAGTCTGTTGTCGCGTGTTGGCACAGAAAGGAACCTTCCAACCACTACCTCCAGAAAATATGCACTCACATGGATAATTCATATCTACCAAAAACTCTCATTCTTGGGACATGTGCAGTACACGAAAAGAAGTTTCCATACATAACACCATAACACCGGGAAAGTCACAAAACTCCTGCAGAGAATTGATGCTATAATCTATTTGTTCATATTCCTTCAAGAATAAGGAAAGTGACTACACATCCAGAGCAGAATTCCACAAGAAGTTAAGCATATGCATCTTACCACACCAGCCATTTTGCTTGCACCTCGTTTAAAGTTTTAAACTTCACAATGACGGCATTATCCTAGTGCCATTGTATCATATATCAAACAAGGACCATGGGTTGCAAAATTACCGAGTCTATGGCAACAGAAAAACGACCCTTGCCTTGTCCAACCGATCCTGCATCCACAATGACCACTCCTAAATTAGACAAAGAATGACACCCAAAAGACTGTTAAATAAATACTTGAAAAAACCAATTCTACTGATTGCATATTTGACTTCAAAACATGAGCTATATACGTTCATACAGAAATCACCTTTCCCCAATTCAAGAATTAACGAGTACAAGTTGTCCATATCCCTCACATCCTTACAGAGATGAGCCAATCCGGAAGCTTCATGGGAAATACTCTTTGCTTTTCCAGACTCCACAAGCTTACTCTTCCATCCAAGAGGATCCGTGTAACAATCCAATATTTGAATCCTAAATCATATAGTTCAGTTCATAAGCGCACACAGTAATACAGGTTTCAAAAGTAATATTCCCAACACAGGAACTCATTGCTACTTTGCGCCAAAAAATAACGACCTGAAGATTAAGTAAAGCGCATGTTGCACGAAGTTTCAAACAAATAAACGAGAGGCAGAAATAAGCACAAGAGATAATACAACAAATTCATTATTTTCCTAACTTTCTTTTCCTTCCTTTTATCAGCAAAAGCCCAGATTGAAACATTACCATTTGTGAGAGGAACTAACATCGATTCCTCGTTTCTTCAACAGCTCTAAATAAAACGAAGGACTTCTCTTAAACGCAACAATCACAACACCTCTGTTTCAAGAATAAGAAGATCTAAATTAACGGCGTCGTTTCAATGGATAAAGAAATCCAAATGAATTGAAATTGGACTGACTGGGACTGAGATTTTCCGGCCAAAGTAAAGGAGGAGAGTTGGGAGAACACGTGAAGAAACAAGTCAAAGCCGAATGGTGAAGCAGCAGTGTCTTTGATAGTGAGAGCTGGAGCATGCTCTCCTTCTAGAGCTCCATCACGGAGAGTTCTGCAAATTGATTCCGCCATGGTTGATGGCGACTTCGGAACCTGGAGACCTCTGTATCTCGAGCAAAACCCTAGCTTAGGGCTTTGGGAAGATTTGGGGATTTTGCAATGAAGTCCCTGAGGTTTTCTGTTATCACAAAAGATCAGTGTATTTGCTTTGCAGTTGTAAAATGAAAAAACAGGGGAGCTTGGTTTGCCTATGTTCAATACAAGCCGGCTTCCTCCCGCTTTGCCGGAAGACATCATTAACAATTTTTATATTATTAATTATTAATAATTAATAATTAAATATTATCAATAATTAAAACGCCTTTACGAGCTATTATCAATAATTAAATATTATTTTATTAATTATTATAAAAACGCCTTTACGAGCTATTATCATAATTAAAAAATTTATTTTATTAATTATGTATAATTAAATTAATATTATTATTTTTAATAAACTATTATGAAGAAATCAAATTATTAGAAAAAATAAAATAACCTACTAGTAAATATTAAATGATTTTTATAATAATAAGAATTATGGTACATTTGCAATATAATAATATTAATAAATCAATAGCATTGTAATTAACATTTATAGTTAAAATAATCCAATAGTGAAGAACTAACTACTTATGGAACTCGTTAAAAATGATAATTGAAATAAAACTTGAAAATTTTCTTATTTAGGAGATTTTTTGTATATTTGGAATGATTTTAAATAATGGCATAGAAGAATCCTAGAATATGAAATTCTATAAAGGATTATTAAATGTGAGAGCTACCTAATCGGGGTAATTATGCAAACAACAAAGTAAATTTAAATTGGATTTAAATTACGATAATAAAAAAAAGTTGATACTAATTTTATTTAAATGAGAAAGTTTAATTCACATTTTTATATTGGTTTTAACGTAAAATAAATATAATACAAAGTATGAATTTTTTTGCCAAAAAAAAAATTATTTAAAGGATGGAAAAGTCTAGCTTGCCAACAATAAAAGCAATTAATCAAAACAAAAAAGAGTCAGATAAATTGCTTAAAAATTTAATTGCCATCTAGTCATATTTAAATACAAGTCAAACTTACTGATTGGTAATTAAATTCTAAAAAAGAAATTGAGGTGGCATAACTGAAAAAATGAAATTGAGGCAATTAGCTTAATAAATTGTTTTTTTTTTTTTTTTTTTTGAAACCTATAAGTTGTTAATTTTATTTACCGTTTCAAAAAAAAAATTTGTTAATTTATTAACAATATAATAAATATGAATAAAAATAAAATAAAAATTTCTAGATAGAGATCATCGGACAACGCAGCACTCCACTTTGGCAAAATTCCTTGTAATCGTTCTAACACCATTTCCCGTTCTCACTTCATCCCATGACTGCCTCTTTGGAACATATGGTTTTACTTCTTTGCTCAATGACCAAACCACTAAGAGCAGAAGCATTTTTCAGCAAGTAGATGGCAAACTCCAATCTTGTTTTGGGGTGCTTGCAAAATCCACAGTTCTACTTTTGGTCAAATGTCTGGGCACTATTCAACAGCTTGGCCTTTTCTTCATCAAAACATTTCTGGGACAACGGTGTCATCAACTCGAAAAGTACAAAAGACAGGGAAAAGCAACTGAGGATAGAAATCAATCTTCAACATCTATTTTGGATGCCGAATGAAAGTCAGTGTCAATGATGTAACCTGGCTGAAGACTGGATATGGTTCCCGGTTGAAACTTTACCTGTGCAAAAAGAAGTGGAAATTGGCTATTAGTAAAACATTCTTAATGAAGATCGACAAAATTGAGAAAAAAGCTATCTTTTTCAAAATACCCAATCGGACCGAGAATAAATTCACTACCTCAGCCAGGAAGCCTGTCGCTGAAACACGAGTGAAAACATATGAACGCCCATCTATTTCCAATGGCACCAAAGCTCCGTCACATTGGGTGCTCCTCTTTAAATCAAATGTGGAATATCATGAAGAGAGGCAGGACAGACAAAAGTTAGGAGATTCGCAATTTGATAGATCAATTGTTTTCAGTCCAACAAGAAACCATTTACCGCAAAATGCTCTAGAAGAGGTAATCCACCAAAACATAATTTGGTAGGAAGGTTACATCTGTACAAGGTAATGTTTAAAGGTTCACACAACAAGAAAACAAACTATTGAAGTCGTAGAGGGATAATGGTGACTTAATAATTGGAGGTCTCCAAATAACTAAATTGGTAGGTAAATTTGTCTCAAAACGAAGCATACAAACTAAGATCCTTCAAGTTATGATTTGAAAACCTTCAAAGCTCTTTCTCTAAAACATACTTCCCCTCAATCAGCGCGCCATTTTTATCTTGGGTAACGTTTTGAACAGTAATTCGCTGCAAATAAAATTTAAGGCACAGACAGCGTTTGAACTCCCCTGCCTAAGAAGCAAACTTACCTCATTGATCAATATCACTAGATACATTTCAAAACCAAGACAGCAACAAACCACAACAGAGGAAATTGCTTTTTCCTGATAAAATTTTAAGACCTGATTTGACTCCTTTAACAAATTTCTCCTTATAAATAACACAGAATTTTCATTATTTTCCCATAATTTCGCGATTTGAAATCAGTGACAACATATTATCCCAGTCCAAAATTGAGTTCGGGCATAGATGAGCATACCGTACTCCAATCTATTTGACAATAGAGATAATTGAACAATCTCTCTCAACTTTAAATAAGAGATAATAGTATAAAAGAAGCTCATCTGGCAAATCGCTGATCATATCCCTTTGTCCTTCGGCTGCAATTTTACGTCTGCCCTTCAGATAATCTACACGGCCTCAACATGGGTAAGGGGAAAACTAACCGTTAACCGCTTAGTTTTAACTGCAGATTAAACTAACGGCTTCACAGCGGAGGAAAAAAATGAGAATAAAACCTCAATATAGGTAGCGGCTGTAGCACAACCGGCGACCTGAGGACGAGAAGCTAAACTTGGAACAACCTTGTAATTAGATTGGTATTTGATCTTAGACCCAATTCCTGCCAGAAGCTAAGCTACGTACGCACTCAAATTTCGGGATTAAAGAAGGTTGTTTAGGGTTAGCTAAAATGTAAAACAATTTTACCTAAAACTTAAAACGGAATTATTTTTTTTATTGGCAATCCTTCGCATCAATTAGCATCCTGAAGCAGCTCTTACAAGTTTTCCTTCGTATTATTGTGACTATCTTATGGACTATCGTCATTATATTTTTCTAAAATACATAAATCCTAGAAGTTTCCTTTTTTTACTTTTAAGCAATCGTAACTAAATTCCACAATGTGAATTTAGACTCAATAATTTATAATGTTCATACTTAATCCCTCATACTACCATATGAAGGTTTTTTTTTTTTTTTCGGTTGTGATAAAAATTATCATATAAGAATTACTACATCTGTTTTAAATTTTATCAATTGATTTAATTTGGATTCGTAGATCACTAGTAATTACATATATAGATTTTGTAATCAAAAATTAGTTTTTTAAAAGTATATTTTTAGTATTTAAGAAAAGAGAAATTTATTATTAGTGGCAGACCTTGAATTTGATTTGATTTTAAGTTGGTTGTTTTAGGTAAATGATCATTGAATTTGAGCTTGAATGGAAAATTGCAGACGTTACAAGGTCCCTGTGTAGTATATCACTGAAAAATTAAATGCACTTAATATGACTTATTGACTGTGGATTGATCACAGATGTACGCTTCAAAATTAAAATAATAAAATTAAACAAAAGAAAAGTAGAGGGAATTGATAGCTTGAAATGTAAAAAGATTGTGATTGTATTAAAATAAAGCTTTACTATATGGATATATAATGAACAATACTTGGAAAATAAAGAGAGAGTTTTGAAAATATGTTATTGTGATGAACCAATAATAACTATACATAAAAATTTACAGGCGATTTGCTTTGTGCCGGTTTAAATTTATGGGAATCTAATTATGAAATTCTACATCGTTTAGGATACCAGAAATAAAAATACGAGAATAATTAGGCAGGCGGAAAAATAAAAATGGGACAACACAGAAATTTACGTGTTCACCCTCAAACTGTTAGGGCTACGTCCACGGGACCAACTCCGAAATAATTTCTTCCACTATTACAAATAGTAGGCTTACAAAGAGAGTAATACAAAATAGTTGCACTTCACAAGTGTTTCCAAAACACCTAATAATCTTCCACTATTATCTAAACCCTTTAGTTTTAAAAGAACCCTTCTTAAACTAATAACTCTTCAAATATTCTTCACGATTAATTGTTATATCTGTGTCTTCTACTGTCTCTCACTTTATTGTTGGTTCTATGCTGAATCTCCTGCCTCTAATTTATAGCAAAGAATTTGAGAGAGCCGTGCATTGCTCATGCAACGGCTCTTCAATTATTTTCAAAACTGGCATGCCAACCATATCAATGGTTGGTTGCCCAACCTTTGATTTTTTTTTTTTTTCTTTTCATAAATTGGTGTGGGTCCCACTTGAGTGGGCTACACCACCACACAACAAATCTCTCCCCCTGCACGCTCAAGTGGGGACGTTAGCGCATACTCTCCAATCATCCCTGCAGCTATCGGCAATATTCAAACTTGTCTTTTGGAAGATCCTTTGTTAACATATTCTGATCCATTTTCATCTGTATGGATCTTCTCAAAGCTGTAAAACTGCTTCCATCTCCAATACATCCCTGATCCAATGATATCTAAAACATCAATGTTGCTTTGATCTTGAATGAAAGGAGGAATTCCTTCCCGAGAATTGCACTTTTGGCTATCGCAGAAAATCAAATATCGTTCTTGATGAATTTCCGAGTTCATTCAAGAACTTCTTCAATCCACAGCCACTCTTTGCATGCTTCTGTTAGTGCATGAATTCTGCTTCAGTTGTTGATAAAGCAACCACTTCTGCAATCTTGACTGGCCATGACACAGCTCACCCTGCAAATGTGATTAGATACCTCTGTATGTGGACTTTCTCCGAGTCAACATCCCAGCCATATCTGCATCAGTAATAACCCACTAATATTGGCTTCTCATCTCCAAAAGCATAAACATACTTTGGTCGTACCTCGAAGATATCTGAAAATCCCATTTTAACTGCACCCAATGTTCCTTTCCAGGATTTAAAGAAACCGCTCACTACTCCGCTGAATGAGCAATATCTGGTCGTGTACAAACGCATGACAAATACATTAAGCCTCCAACTGGCTTGAGCATA